TGTAGTACGAATTTTTAAATTTTATGTATTTTCTATTTATTTTCTTAAAAAATAAATTAAAAAATTAAATATATATATATATAAACCAGGTACCCATTACTCTAAATGTGAGTACCCAACCGATTTATATATATATCCAAATATCTATCCTTAAACTTACTTTAGATCACTAATTGTTGTACATGGATGATGTAGTACGAATTTTTAAATTTTATGTATTTTCTATTTATTTTCTTAAAAAATAAATTAAAAAATTAAATATATATATATATAAACCAGGTACCCATTACTCTAAAATGTGAGTACCCAACCGATTATCGGGTACCCGAAGTTAACAGACCGAGTCACGGGCCAACAAATATATTATCCGAAAATTCGAGTACCCAAAAAATGTGGGTACCCGGATTTAAACACCCCTAGTCGCAATCATGTTTTTATTTTTCTCAAACTTCTAAATTTAGAATTTTATAATTTTATGGTTTTAAATTGGTTCTCACTTCTCATCATTATAATATGTTGAACTCAAAGTGCCTTACCATAATTTGTTGAAGGGCAAATGTATATAGAAAATTACTATCAGTTATATCGCGCAAAATTGATTTAGTATCACTGAAAGGAGAGAAATATTTATCAATTTGAAGTTTTTTATTTTATTTTGGTCCATAGGAAGATATTTCTTGGAGAGAATAAATATAAAAAAGGGTTTGTAAAATGATAAGGTTTGAGTTTTGATGGATTGTTTGAATATTGAAATATGATTCCCTATTGAGATGTGAACAAACTTAATGTTTGGATAGGTAGATGAAAGGGACCCTCAATGCTCAGCCCAATAAGTTGGGTGACCTATTCTTTCATTTGTCAATTACTCGCAAAAGATGTGTCTAAATCACATGATATATATTATGAGCAGCAAAATTAACCTCTTTTATTTTAAAAAGGAAAAATATCCACTGACATGTTAGTGGTCCACTTATCTATTGTTATTGGCCTGTTTGATAGTACCTTAAGGTATGCCTCAATATGGAATTGGATGTATGGCTATCATTCCCCCTTTCAATTTATATACTATTTAAAACGTTATATTAATAGCATAAGTAAATATTATTATTTTTAAAGACTTGAGTTTAAACCGATATATCTATAGTATGTGTATACATCATCAATAATTAAGAGATTCTGAATAAATATTATCTTATAATCATCATATATTATTTTAATATAAAAATTTCAAATAAATTTTAAAATAAACTATATTTGGTTGTATTCTAAACTTGTAAGCATCTCAAGGCTAAATTAGATGTAACATAAATGATGAGTCTAACTTTGGGCTTCAATGTCACAACTTCCACAAAAATTGATAGATACCAACAACATTAGTATGTTTTTAATTTTTTTTATGCTTTTATAGATGTTTCAAATAAAAATTATAAATTGTAGATTTAATAGTTAAATTTTTCATTTTTTACTCTTTCACATCGTTCTTAATTTTTTATATATATTTTTATCTAGTCGATGAAGGTATTGAAAAAACATATTAAATATTGATTCATATATGTATAATAATATTTAAATATAAAATAATATAAAATAAAATATTTGATAAACTTACATCTCAAATGATTAGTTGCCTAATTAAAAATTATATACAACAAATATAATAATATGAAGAAGACTCATTATTTCAAAGGTAATTTTATTTAAAATAACATAAATCGATTAAAATCTTAATTAAAAAGTGTTATTTTTGGAATATCCTTTTACCTCATAGAATGAGGACAAATCTTAATTAAACATACCCTTGATGCTTTAAATAAGAACCAAACAAAGATAATAGTATTCATTTGCCGAGTGTATGAAAAGAGGTAGAACAAGAAGTTGGAACTTTACAGTAATATGCAAAGACAATTGAAGCCTGAATATATTTGAATAAAAAAGCTATAAAAGGCTTCATGCCAGTTGCTTAAATTAAAAAATTTAAAATATATTGAGTGAACTCGGTGATAAAATAAATGTTAGTTTTTCTTGAGATTTTTAGTTCGAGTAATTACGTCTTCAAAGTGTATGTTATTAATTATTCGAACATTTCAACTAATAAAAAATTAAACCAGAGAAAAGTAGATAAGAAACTGCAACCTAAAAGATATAGATAGGAATAGTCTTATTATTATTATTATTATCTCTGCTATTAAATTTGTTTTTTTTTAGTCAATTTTTAATTTTTTTTTATTATTTTTTAAAATTTATTATTGATAAAAAGATAAAAAAATATATTTGAAAAATCTTCAATTAAGTAATTTTTAATTTATTTTTTATAAAATTTAATTATTTTAAACATTTAAAATAATCATGATCAAAGTTCAAAAAAAAATTATATGTAAAAAGTCAACAAATTTTTATATTTAAAAAGTCAATAAAAAAAGATTTAATAAGACGAAAAGAATATTATTTTTCAATTTAATTGATAAATCAATACGTAAATTATGATTTTTGTTACTTCAAGTACCCAACGTTTTTTGATTAAATGAGTACCTAACACTCTGCATTTATTTGATCACACGCTACAGTGTGATGTGCTGCTGTGTATTGCTGCTAATAAAGGACCTATCGGTTCTTCTTTTTGGGATGTTGTTGGATGGCAAGGCTCGAACGATAGGGCTTTTTCAATCAAGTTCGCCTATAACATTAGGTGTAGACCGTCAGTTGCGCCTTGCTTTGAAATCTAGAAAGGAATTCATAAGTACAGGAAGTTAGCGAAAATTAAAACGTTTATGTGGCTTATGTTCTGGAACAAGGTGATGACTAATAATGAGCGTGCTCATCGACATTATTCCTTGGATAGCAGCTGTCAGCTTTGTGGCGCAACCGTTGAGGATATTAATCATGTCATGCGGGTTTGTCCGAGTGCTGTTAACGTTTGGAAGAAGGTAATTAAAGATGATAAGCTTTTTGATTTTTTATCCATTAACATTACGGATTGGGTGGTTTATAATCTCAAGGAGCCGTCTCGGTTTGGAATAGTTGATAATGATTGGGAACTGTTGTTTGGAGCCATCCTATGGAATTTTTGGCTTAATCGTAATGCCATGATTTTCGCTTCTCCTAACGCTGGTGATGGTAGCGTTCTTGATCGCAATAAGCATTTGTAGATGATCTCCATTCGAGCTATTGAGGGAAAATAAGCAAACGGTTACTCTGGAAAATGCAATATTGAGCAGCCCATGTCCTTGTTGCCTCCTCCTAGTCAATGGATCAAAGTCAATACTGGTGGTGCGCGTAGGTATAAAGATGGCTTGGCTTCCTGTGGTGGTGTAGCTCGGGATGAAACGAGAAGATGAAAATTTGGTTTCACCAAGTTCATCCGGGTTTTTCGGGTTATCGACGCTGAATTTTGGTGTTCCTTAATTGGTCTTCAACTAGTTTAGAATTCTGGTTTCCGCAAGATCATTCTCGAGGTGGATAGCCTTGACGCCGTTCGTATTCTCCGTCAAGACTATAAAGGAAATCATTTTTTAAACGAACATTTTGGGGTACTTCGCCAATGCTCATGGACGATAAAGATTCAACATGTTCGTCGTACGGGTAATATGGTGGCTGATATGTTAGTTAAGCTTGCTTGTTCGGATAACCTTACCACTATTGTGCTCGATGAACCCCCCTGTAGGGGCTTGTCCTCTTCTCAATGCTGATCTAACTAATAGATAGCAATTGCGCATGTCGTTTTGACCTAGAGAGCTAAGCCCGTCGTGTTTTTTTTTGTTAGTGCTTGGTCTCTCTCTAATATTATTATATGCACTCATTTCCTCCGACTAAGTTTAGGGGTGATTTTTAATGAGACATATAATAATATCCATGGTATGTTTCTCCTTAAATTGTATTGTTTTACCAAAAAAAAGTTTTATTATTTTAATTACTAAATGTTTCTTTTGTCTAAGTAAGAATTTAAAATTTTATTTTATTATTATTTTAATATCTAACTGTTAAAAAGGAGAAATTTAATTTTATGACCAAAGGGTTTTCATTTTTTCTCTGTGTCGCTTTATTTTTTTCTGTAATTTTGTTGGTTGTCGACTGTCGATATTCTTTGTTTTTCACCTATTTTTATTCACATCTTAATTTTTTTATTTTTTATTTTTAATAATTTTGTCTTCATGACACGATTTTCTCTTCATTTATGGCACAATTTCCTCTACCTTTTGGTACGCTTTTGATCTTATATATCGGTTGTTTGATTGTTCTTTTTATTTACTTTTTTCAAGGTTGGATTTGACATCGCCTCAACTGATCAAAATGATATTTATTCATTATCAAGCTGATTTGTCCTACTTTGGACTCTCGGATGGATTCGGATATGCGGTTTATGTTTGAAGATAGTTTTCTCATGGCTCTCAACTCTAATTTACGATTATCGGTGATATTTTAGTTGTTTGATCCCCTATTGTGATCCATTTACAATGTAGTCATATTTATTAACTTCTTTATTTTGTTAGAGTTTTTAACTTTTTCCTTTTATGATCCTTATATAATCTTATGTAACTAATTTCATGTTAATATTTATAGAAGATATCCTAATTATGTGTTTAGTTTACATTTTATTTGTAAATTATCATCGTAATTTTAAAATTTTCTTTTTCAATAAAACTAGCAGTTTCTATTAAAAATATATTTATAATCGTTAACTTCTATACACAACACGTGACTTAATTATTAATTTCTCAAATTTTTCTCATAAACCAAGCTCGATAACACTTGAAGATAGTGCAGGATTGGTTTGCAGTCGGCCGAGCGTCGCCCAATGGTGTAGCAAAAACTTGCCTTGCTGTGGAATGTTGTTTCAAAACAAATACCTTTAACTTCCAAAATGCTCACACTTCATCCCAATAAAGAACAATTTTGCAGTTCAAAGCAAAACTTTTAAATTTTTACATGGGTTTTGTGTAGCCACAAGATCTATCATATGCTTTCAAAAATACAAGCAGCAACATGTTTTCTTGACAAATTCCAATGGAAAATTGTACATGGTGAATTTTTTTTTCTTTGATGTCAAGTGCTAAAATAGTCCAGAAAATTGCAGTTGGTGGATCTATTCAAGAAAAAAAACTTGGGGTGGAGGGAAAAGTGCTGCTAGGATACCAAACCTGCAACTACGCGAGTGGTTCTCGGCTAATAATTTATTTAGGGGCAACTGGAGCTGGAATTATCCCCCATTTCCTTTGAACATCCTCCAAATCTTCATGAAAGTGCTGCTCGTAGAATACACACATGAGATCGGTGCACTGAAAACCAGCCTTGACAGCCCATGGGAAATAATGCTGGAAGAACAATGATCTTTGTTTCTGGTTAAACCTTGATGTCCCCCCAACAACTGAAAGCAGGCACATTGGGAGATGCATTTGCTCAAACTCAATAACCTTCAATGCAGATTCACCAATCAAGTTGGTAGGAAGACCGAAAAGGGTATGCCAGAAGTCATGCACCTCGCGAGCCCGCATAGCCACGTATGCAAGTTCATCTGTGTCCATGAACCGCACCGGTGGCCTGTCGTCGGGGGAAAAATTCCTTGATCCCATGAACCTTGCATATGCAGCACCAAAAGTGTTCTCCGGTAGGTCCCATGCATGACCTACATTCGCAGATATAACACGTGGCCGCTCAAGGAGCACAGCCTGTTACAGAAGCTCGGTTATGGATAAAAGCTAAAAGATGTCATTCATGGCCAGTTCAATTATGAGTTGAACATGGAAACAATGTGGACGAGGATGATCATTGAAATCAAGGTGTTTGAACCATCAAGCAGCTTACTGACCACAAAAGAATGCAATGGATTAATATCACAGACAAACTCCGAATTCCCTAACATGAAAGACATGGCATTTGCATATGGGGAAAAACAAAGCAATATACCACAAGAAAGACATTAATGAAGGGATCTATTTTATAAAATAACAATTAGGACAAGAAGAGGCAAAAGGAACAATTATACCGTATACATAAAAAGAAAGAAATTGCAGTCGTTTATTGCTAAAAATGATGTCGACATAAGGATACCACTAACTTCACTAAGCCAGTAATTTTGACTGTATGTGGTCTTCGTTCCCCCTTTTTGAGATGGAGTCTGAGGGTGCAGTCGGGGGCGATCACCTCTAAAAATTTTGAATTATCATATATTTTAAATATTTTATTCCTGAAAATTTTGAATTCTCATATATTTTAGATATTTTATTTGTATTTTCTATCGATAATTTATTTTAACCCCGCCCATATGAAATTCTAGAAGTTTGCCCCTAACATAAAATCCTTTTGTAGACTATGCATCTAGAATTTCTCAATAAATTCCGAGGATAATTAAACAAAATTTATCACATTGATCACATCCATGGATCAGCTTTTAATCTGAAATACTGATTAAATTAGCATTTTCCATGACCAGTTAGCAAGGTTATTATGATTACCTCTTTAAATCATATATCTCAAAGTATACCTTTGCAAGTCCAATGCCTAAAACATAAAGTTTCTGCACTTGAGGCATCTTAAACAATTCCTACAATCCATAATTTGTTTTTCTAATTCAACAGTATGAATTGTCAAACAAAATCCATTTCAATGCAAAATTACTCGAGAAGGTATAGATATGGAGCCATAAAATCTTCTATTTCAAATGATTTCATATAGTAAAATTTAAGACCTAAATACATAAGATACGAGTGATAGAGAGACTGACTCTGCCTTCGGGGCTCCTTTTCATTCTCTCAAGAACCCTTTCAAAAGCAGGCTTTCCAGTTGTCTCCCCTAAAGCAGCTATTAAATCCGCCCTTCGTGGATCGAATAACGCACCCATCGCCGAACCTACCGCAACCGCCGCCTGCTGCCATGGTCTCAGCTTAATTAAAGCACTTCCCGTCATTCCTAATTACAAAAACGTAAGCGAAAAGAACTTTTAATCAAAGAATTCTTTGGGTTACCGGAGTTTGAATTCGAAATCAAAACGAAAATTTAGGGGAAGAAAAGAAAAAGGGAACGGACAGAGATGACAGAAAAGGGGCGTTATGATTGCCGGCGGCGGCGGTTATTCTATTTTATCATATTAAAAGTGGCCAACTTTCTAATCATGGGCCAACAGACGACAGTGGACATGCAAAGCCCATCTATTATTATGATTTAGCGTTATAAAAGGCCTTAAATGATCACACTTTTTTAACTAAGTCCTTATATTTTATTTTTACACATGCCATATTTTTATTGGTTATGAACATTTTATGTGTAACAACACTAGTGGTCTCTTATACTTTCAGCTTGTTTACTTTTGGACACCAATGTTAAAAAAACGTTTGGTTTTGGTCACTTTTGTTTTTGTTTCCGATAATTCAGATGTAACCGGGCTTAGTTCATGAAGGTTTGGTCCCAAGAAACTAAGGCAGCCACCTCACCTGGAAGATCTCGATGAAGACTGACGTCTGCCACTTCCTTAGCCATTGCAGCAAGCTTGTCCGCCATCATATTAACCTCTCAACTAATGTGACGTACTTTCGATTTCCATTCTCTGTCTAGAACCTCGCGAATTAGGGTGACAATTGTGTTGCCATCAGTTACGTCGAAAGATCCATTGAGAGGATCCACCGCCATTGCACAGCTTCTATTTTCCTAACTCCTAAATTTCAAACATGGACCAAAGGATCATGAATTGCCTATAGTTTTGCATTCAAAACTGAACATGTGCCTAAATTCCGAACAAAATAAAACATTTATTCACCTCGAAAGTCTCTCAAACTCCCCAGCAGTAGACATGTTTCTCGTTCCTCCCGCCGTTCCATTAGTATTAGCCTTCACCCAGTTCAGAGTTGGTCTCTTCCATCTTTCTACAGGCGAAACAAAGTTCGATTTCCTAGATTAGGTTCAGCAGCAGTCATGGTCTCATTTTTTAGCCTCATACTTTTAAACCAAATAAGATTCACATAGTCATAAACACCCGGATTTGTCTGTCTATTAATCTTCTCCATATATAAAAAATAAGGGTGCATCTACGGAGAAATGAGCCATACCTTCGACCTCACTTTGGCATAAAAGGCATCTAGCAGAAAGGGCCATATGGCGTCGATACTTGGGGATGGTAATCGGTTAGGTCGGGTCGGATTTTCACCTACTCCGACTCCGTTCTGAAAAAATAACACAATAATCCGACTCCAATCCAACTCCAATTTTATTATTATTTAACTCGATCTGAACCCTACATCAAAAATGAAACGTGAACTCGATTTTAACACGACCTGACCCAACATATATTATTAAAAATAAAATAAAAAACTAAAGAAATACAGAAGAAAAAAAACTCTTCTAAGACAATAACACTAGCGTTTTATCATTTTTCCTTATTACCAATTCATCAAAAATTACAAATCTACACTCAAACTAAAACCCAAGATTTAGTTCTTTTTAATTCAGCTAAAAATATAACCTAACATCTTCATTTTTCTCTTCATATATAGAAATATATATTAAATTGTATTTCTGCAACATACTACAATTACAATAAAAATTGATCAAAATTTTTACAGCATAAACTCATAAAGTAAAAAGAAACAATAAAAAATTAATTTATTTATAGACAAAATCATATATTACAAAGAAATATAGATTAAAAAAGCTAAATTAAAAAGGGGGAAAGATGAAAAAATTCATAAACTAAAAACCCGAACCTTTAAATAAAATAGCTTTAAAGGTTTAGATTTTTCTTTGAACAAAATAAAAAGGAGCAAAAAATCTAAAAGATTAACACTTAATTATCTACCTAACGAAACAAAAAAAATTAAATTTATTAACATTCAAATATTTGAATTGGGAGAGATAGAATTTGAGGAGAAAAAAAGAAAAATAATTAGAGAGATGGGAGAAGATTTGGCAGTAGAATAAGAAAAATGAACTGAGAAGAACCCTAAAGCATTATATATAAGGTGACATTTTTGTAAATAATTTAAATAATATAATTTAATTAAAAATATTTGGGTTGGTCAAGTCGGATTTTTAATATAAAACTCGACTCTGATTCGAACCAAAAAATTTACCATAATAAATTTGATCCAACTCGTCAAAATCGGATTAAATTGTCGTCTCTATCAATACCACTCCTCATTTGTTAGCAATTTTCCATAGAGAGCATGGTAAAGGAACACTTCTACTCTTTGTAGGACTTGGAGATTCCATACACTCTTTTACGGGGTTGTCTCAGGAAAAATAAATTAATATAAGGTTAATATACGGCGTTACTGGATACATTAAAAGATATTTAACAAATTCGGTTTAGCGCTACCTATTATGTTGACAGACTAATAATGTTGTAGGTAGAAAACATGAAAAACTATTAAAAAATTTGGTAATCGGTAAACTTTGGTTATCGATAAGTATCGATACATATATATATAAGTGCCATACTTATTTCAGTGTGGAAAATATTAATTTAAGGTTATCTTTTGAATGAGTTTTAAGATATTAATTTAATAATTATATGCATCTAATGATTTATTTTTATGTTACAGTATATATTATTATTAAATTAAAAATAATAAACATAAATATTACATATTTATTATTATTTTTGGTTAAAATTGTTAAATTTAAATTCTAAATAATATTTTATAAAATATATAAACAATCAAATAATTTTTTGTGTAAATGAAATTATTAAATTAATATTGTAGGTGGAAAATATGAAGCACAATTAAAAAATTTTGAAACATAAATTACATAACTTTCAATAAAGTATCGATACATGTACAAAAAGTATCGATACTTTCAACATATCAGGTAGCTCTTTACCGGTTTTGTCATAATGAAACTGGTTTTGTCATATTTTTTCCTGTTATATTGTAAAGTATCGATACATTTTTATAAAGTATAAATACTTTCAACATATCAGGTAGCTCTTTAACGGTTTGTCATAATGAAACTAGTTTTGTCATATTTTTACATTGTAAAGTATCGATACTTTCAACATATCAGGTAGCTCTTTACCGGTTTTGTCATAATGAAACTAGTTTTGTCATATTTTTACATGTTATATTGTAAAGTATCGATATATTTTTATAAAGTATCGATCAGGTAGCTCTTTACCGGTTTTGTCATAATGAAACTAGTTTTGTCATATTTTTACATGTTATATTGTAAAGTATCGATATATTTTTATAAAGTATCGATACTTTCAACATATCAGGTAGCTCTTTACCGGTTTTGTCATAATAAAACTAGTTTTGTCATATTTTTACGTGTTATATTGTAAAGTATCGATACATTTTTATAAAGAATCGATACTTTTAACATAACCGGTAGCTCTTTACCGATTTTGTCATAATAAAATTGATTTTGTCATATTTTTACCTGTTATATTGTAAAGTAGCGATACTTTCAACATATTTAGTAGCTTTTTACCGGTTTTGTCATAATGAAACTGATTTTGTTATATTTTTACATGTTATATTGTAAAGTATCGATACATTTTTATAAAGTATCGATACTTTATAGGCGCTATTACTGCTTTTCTTTTAAATTCCAAAAGTGTCGATACTTATTTAAATAGAATCGATAATTTCAACATATTCGGTAGATAGTTTAATGTAATAGGTAGCGCCTATTTTTGTTACCGTTTACATTATTAGCAACCTTCAAAAAAACTTGTAGATATTTTAATGTAATAGATAGCGCTCTTTTTTTTACCGTTTACATTATTAGCAACCTTAAAAAATGGTAGGTATTTTAATGTAATAGGTAGCGCCTATTTTTTTACCGTTTACATTATTAACAACCTTAAAAAACGGTAGGTATTTTAATGTAATAGGTAGTTTAAATTTTGTTAACATTTATCCCTAAGGTAAGTTTATCATAACTGATAACAAATTAGGTAATTACCTATTTTGTTACATAAGCACTACCTAATATGTTATTATGCTTGATAATGTTTCCAGTAATTAACCGGTTATGTTATCATTGGTAACATTTTAGGCGTTTTAGGCGTTTACCTAATATGTTGTAATAAAAAATTAAGTAATTAACATATTTTATTATATAAGCGCTACCTATTACGTTATATAAGCGCTACCTAATATGTTATTATCTTTGATAATGTTTCCAGTAATTAACTGGTTATGTTATCCTTGGTAACATTTTAGGCGTTTACCTAATATGTTGTAATAATAAATTAAGTAATTAACATATTTTATTATATAAGCGCTACCTATTACGTTATATAAGCGCTACCTAATATGTTATTGTGCTTGATAATATTTCCAGTAATTAACCGGTTATGTTATCCTTGGTAACATTTTAGGCTTTTACCTAATATGTTGTAATAACAAATTAAATAATTAACCTTTTTTATTATATAAGCGCTACCTATTACGTTATATAAGCGTTACCTAATATGTTATTGTGCTTGATAATATAAGCGTTACCTAATATGTTATTGAATTTGATAATATTTTCGGTTAAATGATATAACATAACCGATCTACATTTTAACCGGTTACTTGTTTAACCAGTCACGCCATTTTTTAACTGTTTTTAACTGCCGCATAGCAGAACTTCCCCTCTTTTACACGCCAGTCACCTCATTTTCCGTCGGTAGAGATAAGATAATATAGGGGCAATTTGATATAATATTTAAAAAGTGACTTTTAAAAGTGATGTACAAATGAACTTTTAAAAGTATTTTATAAAAAAATACAGTTTAAAATTGAATTATTTAAAATTATTGTAAAAATGTGAGGTTGAAAATATAAAATATATATTATAGACATTATGTTGTAAATTAAAAATATAACATTTAAATTATATTTATACTTATATATAAATCATATCAATTTAAACTATAATAAATGGAAAAGAATTATTATATATGAATAATAACAATTTAAACTATAACAAAAATATAAAAAAATATAATTAAAAATATATTTTATATAATTCATATTTCAATATATAAATCATAAATTTTATTTATGTTTAAATAATTAAAATAATTTATTAAAAATAATAAATTATTTTTAAGATTGT